AGAGTATTCATATGGATAATTTAAAAAAATTATAAAATATAAAATATGTCTTATATTTAGGATCACAATTAACTTAACAATTAGGGTCTATGTTAATAACGAGAGGAGTACTACTTTTCCCTTTAATATAAAATTTATCTTATCGCAATTTGCATTACAATGTGAATTTATATTAAACACTAGAAGTTTTTTTTTTTTGCACGGACGCATATTAATTTTATAATTAGGATCAGAGGTAGTAGCTTATAAGTAATGTTTTAATTGTGATTTACGGAATAAGAATAAGTATATAAAATGAGTTTTGTCTTTACTTATGTAATATATATTTATAAGTGCTTATGAATGCTATTCCGAGTAGGCCATAAGTAACTTTCTTTCTTCTTTTTTTTTTTTTTGGGCTAGATATCAACTAAATCGGGACCATGTGACTCACTGTTACTCTTGATTAATTCTTCAATTATATTCCATTTCTTGCTCTTTATATTTGATAACGAATGTTTTCCCCATTTTGTTGCCTATATTGATAATGGAACGAGCACATAACACACAGAAATACTGACAAAGGCCCTTCATCGATCAGTTTTTAAACTTCAGTCACTGTTAATCATCTTGTTTACTATTTTGACACTTATCATTTATTAGGACGTACCCCTATTTGTGTCGAGAAAGAGATCGAGAGAGAGAATTCATTTTGTCAAGAAAGGTGCATTTGAGATAAGAACAGAAGCCAAATGTTATTTGAAGCGGATTTAATTTCAGTGAGAGGCATTTTAGAAATGCATTCAATTTTACAAAAAAAAAAAGGATTATTAGGACAACACTTTCTATTTAAATCATATGCATATACAAGAAAAAGGCCCACTCTATAATGCATACATTACAGAACTGTAGAGGCACTATCTTTGGACAGCATGCGTGAATCGGTGGCAAGCGTGATTCTGGCGGTGGTGGTGCCATTCTTGGTGGTGGGTTCGGTTCAATGTGACTGCCACTTCAAGGCAATCTTCAACTTCGGAGATTCCAATTCAGACACCGGTGGCTTCTACGCAGCATTTCCGGCAGAGACTGCTCCCTTCGGATCTACCTTCTTCCACAAGCCGGCCGGAAGAGCTTCCGATGGCAGACTCATCCTCGACTTCCTCGGTAATTTCATTTCCTTCGATTGCTTTTCTGAATTCGTTATCGTCTTTGTGGCTGCGAAGCTTGAACACGATTTGAATCAGCCCCACGTTACTGCTTCTTCTGTTCTCTTTTTCGGCTTCTGATTGCTATCATAATTAGGGTCGTAGCCTCAAGTATTTCTTAACTTTCATAAATCACTTGGGTCGAAGAAACGTTTTGAATGATTGTTTCTTTAAGATTTCAATTTGAGAACTCAAAGTTCGTATCAGCCTCCTGTGGTTGCTTGGTTGCTTGATGGAAGCTCCGGAAATGTAGAACAGCGTGAAAATAAGTTCTCAGAACGACAGAAGTCATTCAAACAAACGAATCTAGCCCACATAGGCCCAGCAATGATTGGGCCGTACAAATAGATTATAATCAATATTATAAGAGTATATACTCCATTACTAATTATAAGACCTAGTTACCAATAAGAGTTGGTTAGTTGGTAAGGAGTGGTTCATAACCCATAAGGTCGTGAGTTCGAATCCCTCTGCCGATGTGAGAACCTTGTTGGTGGGCGATCTGTAAGTACCTCTGTAAACGTTCTTTGAGCTTAGAGGCATACTTTGGTCCTGGTGAGTCTCCGAGACCCAACTCACCTAAACTTTTCTGTACCAAAAAAAAACATAAGACATAGTTTGTGGATTATAAACGAGATATTATAAATAGGACCGGAGCTAGTGTATATGTATTGATAAAATAAGAGTATATATGGTGATACATATGCTTATTAAAAACAAGTTATATTTGTTTATCTTAAATACATTTATATGTTCTGAAGTTATTTAATTTATTTTATATCAGTAAAATTGATGTTTTAATAATGTCTGTTTCATTACAATTACTTAAGCATCTCTATATTTCGTTGAAAATAAAATCGAGGTTTTTTGGCACAATAGTATTCATTGAGGAATTTAGCTTTGTCCATTATCTATCTAATTAAGAACAATATTTCAATTCTGAGCCACGTTAATTTCATAAACAGGTAGACGAAAAATTTTAGTAATTCTAAGTCTGTCAAAGTCGTGGTCTTTTAAGTAAAGAAAGATTCAGTATAATTTACCTCTTACCTCCTATCTTTAATATAAGAGTTTATTTAATTTTCATTTTAATTTAAATATAAGATCTCAATTCATTTATCTCTTATATTTATTTATTTTTTTTCTTAAGGTAGTTTTTATAATAATGATAGTTTTAACCAATATACTTGATTAGTAAAGATATTTGATAGAAAAGCCAACATTTACTTATTATAAATAACTAATTTAATTAGTTTTCTTAATCTATTCAAATTAGTAATTAACTCTTATACCAAAAATCGGAAATGTAGTATTTTTCAGGGAAGAACAAGAGCAGTTTATTCGTCATATGGTCACGGAAACCCACAGTTTTAAAAGTTACAGCGACGGGCCGAATAAAATATGTTAGGAATTAAGATATTGGGTAGTATAATTTTTCACAAGCTGTGATTAGTCACGCTCCCCCCCCCCCCCCCAAAAAAAAAAAAGGAAGGAGATTAGTTACGCCTGATGAACAAGTTTAGCTCCCCCGCCCTGTAATGGTTGGATATTCATTTAAAAAAATAAATAAACTTCTCGTAAAATATAGTGAATATTTGAGAGAATACCTGTAGTTTTCGTCTATTTGCTTCTAATCCTTCTGTACAAGAAAATGATGATGATGGTTACGGTTATTATTCGCTTTTCTAACAATGATGATGATGATGATGTTGATATCGTTATTATCACCCTCTAACTGTATTTTCTGCGATGAACTTTAAAAACCATATAAAATTTCAGCTCAAGCACTGGGATTGCCGTTTTGAGTCCTTATCTGCAATCAATAGGATCTGATTACAGACATGGAGCCAATTATGCAACATTGGCATCTACAGTTCTTCTTCCTAATACCTCTCTGTTTGTGACTGGAATCAGCCCCTTTTCTCTCGCCATTCAGCTCAACCAAATGAAGCAGTTCAAAGCCAAAGTTGATGAAGTTGGTCTCCTTGGTACACTCTCAACTATGAATATTTAGTTAGACATCTATATTAAGCAGTTCATTCATTTTTTGGGTTGTGTGAATCTTTTCTTTTCTCTAGTTTATAAAATTCTCATTTTAATTGTTGGCTAGACCCAAAACTTCCTTCACGGGATGTCTTTGGAAAATCTCTATATACATTCTACATTGGGCAAAATGACTTCACCTCCAACTTAGCTGCCATTGGTATTGGTGGGGTGAAGGAATACCTGCCTCAAGTTGTTTCACAAATTGCTGCCACCATTAAGGTGAGAGTATCTTTCATGTAAGAAAGGGTTAATACAACTTTAAAACTGGGTTGATTTAATATGATCCAAACTAAAACTGCGGTTTACTAGCTTTCATGTCAAGTAATGTTTCTTCACAAGTTGCAATTTTTGGTGGATTATAGGAGCTATATGAACTTGGAGGGCGCACATTTCTGGTGCAGAATCTTGCACCAGTGGGATGTTACCCTGCACTTCTAGTGCAGCTTCCTCATGAAAGTTCAGACGTTGATGAGTTTGGATGCTTGGTTTCTTATAACAATGCAGTGCTTGACTATAACAACATGTTGAAGCAGACATTGAACCAAACCAGAGCAAATCTTTCAGATGCTTCCATCATTTATGTGGATACTCACTCTGTGCTGCTAGACCTCTTCCAGCACCCCAAATCTCATGGTACAAATTGAAGATAATATTTGGTTAGCCAAAAAGAAAAAGAAAAAATAATTATCAAGTTTAAGCAAGTGTTTTAGAACGCAAGATAATAGCTGTTTCCAATCACAAATCTCCAAAAGGCAAAGGGAGATGAGTGTAGAATTTTTTAAAACTGATGGTTTTTTTATAAGTCTCAGTAAATTGAAACTAACTAAAAAAATGACTATTTTGTGCATCAGAAGTCAGAATATGTATATCACCCTCAAAAAAAGCATTTGTTGTCATTTATATATCAAAATTTAATTAAAAATATCAATATAGATGAAGGGTTAATTCAAGCGATTGGGTGGATAAAAATGAATGTTCAACTAAAAAAAATCATTTTTATCCTTTAAAAAAGACAATGAGTTATATGAATATGGATAGATATGAAGTTTCTTATTATATCTTCAAACAATTAGATCATCATTATGTTGGATGAAGTTTAGGTATTTGTGAACTACTGATAAACCAAAGTGCCTTAATTAAAGAAGTGGTTGTGATGGAACAGGGCTACAATATGGCACCAAAGCATGCTGTGGACATGGAGGGGGAGACTATAACTTTGACCCAAAACTTTACTGTGGAAACTCCAAACAGATTAATGGAAGGACAGTGACAGCATCAGCTTGTGATGACCCATATAACTATGTAAGCTGGGATGGCATCCATGCCACTGAAGCTGCAAACAAGCTTATTACTTTGGCTATTCTTAATGGTTCCTACTTTGATCCTCCTTTCCCTCTTCATAAACTCTGTGATCTTCACCCTATAGGCTGAACATTGCAATATTCCTCAAGCCTTCTTCCTTGTTTCAAAATGTTACAGCAATTACTCTCATCAATAAAAGAAATTGGAAATTCCTATTACGCACCGTTTTCCTTAGAAAATATTTATTTGCACTTGTTAGAAAACAGGTCATCTGTTATATAGCTTTATTGAAGAACTCTATAGTTAATACTTCGGAATCTTATTATCGAGTCCTAAGCATACTTTGGGATATTGGTGTTAAGTTCATATTTTATAAAACAATAATAAAAATAAAATAGCCATATTTTCTTTCTTAAAAATAGCTACTAGCTCCGTCCTAATTATAAAGTCTCGTTTGAAGTCTACAAATGAGGTGTTATAATTAGAACTAGAGGTAGTATATTGTTTTTTTTTTTTCAAAGAAATGTATTAGGATTTTTTATGTTCTCTCAACTCCCCGGACGCAAATAAAATTAGGTGGGCATCCTTTGTTTGAGAGAAAATGTAAGAAATGAGCTGTGCTATTTATTGTTTGAGAAAAGTATTTGCTAAAAATTTTACATTAATATATTGATATGCACTATAAACAAAAGCATTAGACGACCAAAGAATAAAAGGATATATTTTAAGCTGGCAAAAAAAGGGGATATATTGTGGGGGAGAAATGTGTGTGTGTGTGTGTGTGTGTGTGTTTACTCAAAGAAAAAGACCCGTATTACAAAGAACACGTGAGGGAATGAATGTTTTTGTTTTACTATGAAGTAAAAAGAAGCGTTCAATTCTCAAGTGCCGGCTGGGTTCTAACCATTGAGGCAGCAGGCATTTTGCTCTGTCCAACCCAGAACTCACCAATAATCACATCTTTTTCTGATTTTTCCTCCATTTTTTGAATCTTCCTTCTCTTCATTACCTTAACACACACAAAAACGAAAACCACGAACAACAACACAATCAACCCACTTCCAATTCCTAATACTACGATCCACCTTGTCCTATTATTATCCTTCTGCCCCTTGTCTTTAGCTTCTTCCAGCGATGGAACCACTAGCGTGTAGTGTCCTTCGCTACGTATCTCACACACAAATGGTTCACTCATGTTCTTCAGTCCAACCAACCTACCGTCATTACCAAGCTTTGCACAAATTGGTTTTTCTCCCCTTTTCCCATGAACCCAACTTCGAAAAAATCGAACTTTGATGGGATTCTTTTCTGGGATGCTCAAATTTAGCCTTTGACTTAGCACTAATCCTGCTTCTGAAGTATTATAAGCCATCAGACTAAGAACTGGAGTTACCATGGTGTGATTGGGAACATCGTAGTAACGAGATGACCAGTTTCCAAAGTTTTCAAATACTATGGCTATTCTCTCGACGTGAGGCTCTGGTTTGATCATAGGTGGGAGATTGAAGTGACTATAGTTCCCTCCTCTTAGCCTTAAAGAACCACTTCGAACTCTGAGAACTGAGAATTTCATGCCTGAGAAGTTAGAAGGAAGAGGAATGTTGTAAAAGGTACCTGTACGAGGTTTTGCTATTTCTCGGTTTGCTTTGTCACGAACAAAGGCTTCTAGAGATGCATGGTCATAGGCTTTAGACTCTTCGCTGAAACTGAAGAAGATGATGAAAGAGACGATGGCCCATGTAATTTTCCGACATTTGTGGAGATCCATGGATGTCATTTCATGTCACCCCAGAAGCTTTCGTCTGTCTCTAATGTTGAAATATTGCACCCCCAGAAAAAAAAAAAAAAAAAAAGCTTTTATGCAAGATTTCTTATAGCATTCTCCTCCTCTTCTGGTTTTTTCCTGATACAAGTGAAAAATACTTTCCTTTGGTTCAGAACGTAGAGAACAGAGTCTTTTTAAACAGTTTCCCTTGTCTTCCTCTTGCGATTTTTCATGATTCTTTATACATAAAACGAAGTAGTTGCAGAAAGATGATGTAATGCAGGCGCAAAACTATTATATGATATAGTTGAGCAGTTAAACATGAATCGCCTTAAACAGATTGGGTTCTTTAAAAAAAAAAAAAAGTTGTTGGTTCCATTACGTATGTTGGATTCATGAAGGACAAGTGCAGACAATGGGCTAAAATAAAAGAAAGAGATGATTATTAAGTAAGAAAAATAAATATAAATGACTTCTCTAAATCTTATTTAGGGGTGTTTGGAATGGCCAGAAAGCACTTCAAAAAGTGTTTTTATATAAATGGAGGCAAATTTTCTCTTATATATTAACTTTGTATACTGTAAAATTATTTTTAAAATCATGACTTAGTTTTCATTTAAATATCTTTTTAATATTGATATGTCCTAAGAAATTTGATATTTACAAGTTTGACTTATAAATGATATAATTCAATTTGTGAATATGAAAGTTTGATTAGTAAACATTAAATTGTTAAATTTAATATGTAAATGAAACAATCCCACTGATAGATATAAAAGTTAAACCTGTAACTATTAAATTTTTTGAGATTTATTAATATTAAATAAAATTTAGAGACTTTATTTATATTTAACTTTTTACCTAAGACTTATAGGTAATTCTTCTCAAAAGAAACGCAAATATGTTATATTAATATGACATGATTTCACATTCTTTTCAAAGAATGATTTGGTCTAATTATTTATTTAACATTTAAGACGACCCACGTGGATTTTATACCTTCATGGAAAAGCTGTTGGCATTTTCTTACCTAACAAATATGCTCCCTTTTTGGACTCCAAAAAAATGATGATCCCTTTTAATCCCCTTTTCTTAATTCTCCTCTCTTAATTATACCATTAGAATTTCTCACCTACAAATAAAAGGAATTCGGCTCGGCTGGAATATGGTTGGATTTGCCGATTTGGTGCTTTTTATACATTTATTTGAAATCCTATAAAATATAAGAGTAATTATTTTAATATGATTTTTTTTTTCACGTACAAGATAAGTACAAATCCTAAAAATTGAGTCATTTTCATTCCACCCAACTACTGTATCTATCTCATCTTGCAAATGAAATTTATACAGTCCAAATCTCATCTCATTTCATTTTTTATTCTTAAATTTCTAGGGTCAAATCCATTCTTCTGAAAAATAGTAGTTATCTTTTTATTTTGAACTTTGCATATGTTAAGATATTAAAAATATAATAATAAAATTAAAATAAATTGAAAATAATGGATGAGATTGAGAGCTTCAATGAATGAAGAGAAAAAAAGAAAAGAAAAGAAAAGAAAAGAAAAGAATGATGAACTTTGTTGACTTGCGCAGAAATGCTCATATTATTGTTGTTTATTTCAGAATTGCTTGTGGCTGTTTATTGGTTGCTTCGACAGCTAGTGATTGATTATTTGTTTGTCACCAGATTCTTGTCTAATGTTCGTTTGGGCGGCAAACTTCCTGTCGTCTTTTTCAAAAATATTTTTAAATAACTGATAAAGCGGAGTTAACATATAATTTTTAGTCGATTAATTAATGCTAATTTGTTTAAGTGATTTGATTCTTTTTATTCACACAGTGTATATGTGTAGGAACAAATTCTTCTGGCCAAAAAAAGAAAAAAAGAAAGCAAGCGTAGCGCCCCTAACGTAGGTATAAAATTAATGTTGACACCTCTAGGCTTTGAATCTAATGGCTCAATGATCAATTTATCTAAACTCTCAAATTTTTATAAATAATAACTGCTGCATCACGAACAAGCAATCACATATTCACCTTCACCTACAGCCATGTATTGTCAAAGTTGGTGGAAGAAACCCCTTGTCCTCGAGTTCAGCTAGCGAAGAGGTCAGATACTCTCACAATATGGAGGAGGTTTGATCCTAAAATTAGTTAAAAGATTCCTATCTGCTGGGCAAGATTAAAAAAAACTTGCTTGTCATGCTTCTGTACTCATAGGAATAAGCCCTAGTAGATTATAAGTCAGTTTTCTTGCTTTTAGATTGTAGGTGAGTCCAATCCTTTTTTATAATTTGCTTGTCAAAAAAAAAAGTTGATGGAAGGAAAAACTGTTCACTAGTTTGATTGATTGTAGTATTTTTATAAGGGCCGAACTGCTACTTATTATTGGCGTAACAAATAAAACTTCTAGTTATTGGCAATATATAAAACTTCCCTCATAGCAATACAATAATATTCATGCAAAGATTACCCAAAAAAAAAAAAAGTGAGAGAGAGAGACACGAACACACCATAAAGCTCTAGTTTTTAGAAGTTTTATTTGATTCCCAATATATATATATATAATTTAAATCTGTGAGCTGTTTTGCTTTAAGAAGTACAAGAAGAAACAGATTTTCCATACCAACTCTGATTGGATTTTCTCTGTTAACAGTGACCCGCCAGTTATATTATATCAATTGATGTGGCGCTGTCACCGTCGCATCGCCTAATGCTTATGCGACATTTCGTTGTAGTCGAAACATTCATTTATTTTTGATATTTTAAGGTATTTTATTTATTTAAAAAAGCAGGTTTTTTCAAGGTACAGCTGGGTCTAAGAGTGGGTCAACAGGCTAGCTCAACTTACGTGAACTGATCTGCCACGTGCTGAGGACAAAGTGATCTGGATTGGGCTAGGAAACTTTTTGATGGGTCAGAAGTTTCTAAATTCTACGTACGGATAGGATTAGGTTGCTTAACCCACACAACCAATAAAGAAAGAATCTAAGAGAAGGGATTAATTTCTCAAAATGTGATAAATTAATATTTTAATTCCTGCTGGTAGGGATGAAAACAGGTTAAGCTAGATTAGACTTTGTCCTTAACAAGTCATGCTTGTCTAATAACAAGTTGGTTTGAGTTTGACCAATGGTCTGTCATAAGTTTTTTTTTCCCATTACAAGCCTAGCTTGAGTTTGTTAAGAAGGCTTAAAATTTTAAAATTTTCAAAATGCATAGTAAAAAATACATGGAGTAATGAAAAGTCAAAATATACATGCTATGTAATAATTATTTTTTAATATTATCTTTTATTTAAATTTTAATGTAATAAGTACTATTTTAAATATTAATTATAATGAATATTATTGAAAATAAGTTATAATTATATGTTAAAATTTAGAATAAGACTGTATATAAGTACAGAATGAAAATTAAAATTAAAATAAATAAACAGGTTAAGCAATACATGACTAGTTTAATAGGCTTTTTAAGAAGCCTAAGCCTAGCCTGTTAGACTAAATATCTCTTTAAAAAGGCTTGAGCTTGTTTCTATTTTGAAGCAAGCTAGGACACAAGCCACCTAGCATGTTTACGCCCTTGCCCGTTGAAAGAGATGCTCATATCTAGTATCTAATAGTGTCTTGAACAGAATTATCTCTAATATGATGGTACTTATGTCAAGCCAAAACCATACATAACCCCTCTTGCGTGCGTTCAGTAATTGAAGGATGGGACAAGCCAGCTAAAAGAAGTACTCCCTCTGTCTCTTATTATAAGATCTATTTTTTTTGAATGGGTTTATTCCCTTTTATAAGATTTTTTTGGGTTTTTCTAAGCATTTAATATATTATTATCTATTTTATCTATAATCTAATCTATTTAATACATTCTTTTTTTTTTATTTATCTTACTATTACTTTCTCACATTTACTTGTTTATATATAGGGGTATATTTGGAAAATTTTTTTATATTTTTTGACATATTAATTGCTTTTAACTAATTTTAATTGTTTTCTTAAACCGTATAATTTAGTTAAAAAGATCTTATAATAAGGAGTTAAGGAGTATTTAGGATGAGTTCATAAAAACCTTCTAGAAGTATAAGGAACATACGCATGTTGCTATGAGAGAGGGGAGGTGAACGTCACTTTTTGGGGGGTCTACAAATGATCTATTTGAGTGGAGAAGGTAATCCTCTCACATAATTGGAAAACCTATCATGTTTTATTCTTAGAGTTTTTGTCCTATTGAGGTTTCAGTGTCATTGTGTGAGGTTATTAATCTTTGGCTAGAATCTGAAGTGCATTCTATTTCCCATCCCTTTCGTGTCATTTGTTGCTTTAGTAGAGTGCACTTTGTGTCTTGTTTCTGTACTAGTGCAATGTATTTCTTATGACAATATACTTCATCTTGAGTTTTCATCTCGCGTTAAACTTGTTTTCCATTCCGAAAAACACTGTTAGCAATAGTAATTTCAGGCTGATACTATGCCAAAACTACACGATTAAGCAAGCACGTTTGTTAGTTTCCTGTTATGTAGCTGCCACAGCATTAGCTCTAGGACTCGAGCAAGATTTTTAATGGGCCAAAATTTTCTCAAACCTATTCTATCTCCAAATAGGTTAGGCTGGTGCTTGCAAGGTGTATTATCTGATGTCTGTCATCTATTGTTTCTTAGAAACAGGCTGCGCATGCTAAATTATACCAATGTGCATATTTTGCCGACAGCACACAAATTTTTTTTTTTTTTTAAAAGGACAGCATGTCAGAGTTCTCTTATTGCCATAAGCAGAGTTAACCCTTCAGTCACTATGGAACAACCAATCATGGTTTCCACCCACAACCGCACTATTAAAAGTTGCTACACATTTCAAGAATAAGTCAGCTTGATACAAGAGTGATAAGAGGTTGAGAGGAATTCTATTCTAACACCGAAGGATACAGACGCCTCTTAAAGCAGACAAAAACAGATAGTCATCAAAGAACATCTTTACTTCCCACTCACTATAACACTTCTATTCAGTTCCAGCGATTTTCTTCTTGATGTCCTCGATGTCGGTAGCTAATTCCTTTCTGCTAGACTGTATGGAGAAGCAAAATTATATTATTTATAAGATCTTTTTCTAGCAAAAATAAACTTGCCTAGGGTTCACATGGTTAGCCTAAAAGATAGGAATTCTGATTGCAGAAATAGAAGATAATAGCTAGATCCAATGCGCAGAATAAATCCTTCATCATTTTGACTGAAATAGCCATCGATAAATGGAGAAAACTTAATTATTTGTTACCAGATCTCAAATAGAAGTGTGATGTGCAGAAGGACTTAAAAAAAAATCAATCATACAACATTAAGCTATAAAGAATATTCATGTGCTGCCCTACTATAGAAGAGCCTGATAAGTGATGGCAAATTCCTAAGAACTTTCACCTTTTTTTTGTCCTTGATTATTTTAATGTTATCATTTGTCTTCAATTGGTCATTTATCAAAACAAAAAGAATCAGTATCCAGATCAATGCAGTTTCACGAATATATTTTGCAGAAAACAAAATGCGTATGATTCCAAAGCAGTAGTGTCTCCATCGGGCACTTTACCTACCTTAAATAGAAGGTAGCGGTAGACAAACCATCCAGTGTAACCTAGCCCTACCAACTCCATGATTTTTGGAAGCTGAAACATAAATGAAATATTTCAGATGAGTTCACAAAACTTCTGGAAGCATAAAGAACAAAAGCATGTCAGTTGGTTGACTAAAAAGCAACCAATCGGGGACAAACTTTTGGGTACAACTGATCTATACAAAATGAAAGGGCCAAATCAGTTGTTAATAAGCATGAAAACACATAAATAAACACTTCAGAGACAGGAGCACTTCTAACTTATACCTATCTGTTTATTTTTGATTGGCTGGGTCTACTATTCTTTCCTTCTTTCTTTCTTTCTTTTTTTTTAGCAGCAAAAATCTATGTAAGAACCTCTTCTGATTAAACTAAAAGTTTATTTAACAAGAATAATGGCTTACCAAGGGAAGTGAGTTGATGGCACCCACAAGAGTTGCTGATAGCCAAACAGCAACAATAGCCCCACCTCCGTAAAGAAGTACTGTAGATTTGTTTTCAAGAGCATCCCACTGATAATAATAAACAGAGGATATAAGTCCCACTTGATTACAAGACAAAAGCTGCCGGAGTTAGGATGAGATTTGCCAAAAAGAAGATTCAGGACAAAATAAGAATGTTGCGATTAGCCAAATCATAAACTTCTTGCCTTTTGCTTCAAATCCGTGAACAATTCACTCGGATCCGAACTAGATGTTTCCTCTGAAGAAGAAGCTCTGGTTTGAAACAAAGACTTCCGGTACTCTGAAAGACCGGAAGCAAGAAGAAAAATTAAAACTTGTTGAATTGTTTGATAAGTAGACATCATATCTTTCCAACTACTTGGAATTTCATGGGTTCATTATTCTAGAGAATCCAGTGAGGAGGATAAGAAGGCTGTGATCAATGTATATGTTGTATACATTATGCCAAGTAAAATGTATTATGAGTGAAGAAAGAGAAAAGAACTTCGGAAGAGAAGGTAGCCAGAAACAAAAGATGAGATGAGAGAGTTAGTTCTTAAAATAACAATATAGAACTCTTCACTTGCTAAAAAGAACAATATAGAAACAAAGAGATTAAGAAGGAAAGGAGGATATAAGAGATTAATTTGAGTCGGAAGATTTTATTTTATCCATCAGAATTGTGATGACACAGTACCAAATACATAATATCTTGGTTTAAGTGTCATATTCAAATATATAGAAACAAAGCAAGGATACCAAATACAGCCTGTAGGAAAAAAACAAATAAAATGGGATTGAGCTCAATAACATATTGAGCTCGGAGAAACAGGGGGTAGGTTCAATATTCCCCTATCCAATTTATACCATTTAGAAACTCTTGTGACCGTCTTGATTAGCCTTCATATGCGGCTGCCAACTAAAGCAGCTCATGCCAACAATAACCAGTTTCAACATTTCGACCTCCAGAGCCTACTGAAAACGGGTATCGGTAACTCGTTTACATATCAGAAAAGGTGATTGAAATTGATTTGAACCTTCTAATGCCACACGAAGATGGTCATATGAGGAGAATGATGGACAGCACCTTCCGATTTTTACTTTTGTAATTAATCGATTTCTCTGTCCTCAAACTCAAATGATCATCACCTCACATACGAGAATTGAAATCCCATTAAATATAATTAGCACGTAAATGGAAAGAACGCACTAGTTGAAGACGGGCTACGTTCCGTTTTACGAACAATGTTAATTATATTATGTTATAAAATTCTTTAAATGAGAAAAGAATCCAGAATACTTTTAATGATTCCGCCCGAAGTTATTTGAATATTCGTTCCTTACTTTTTTTCAGAATTAAAGTAAAAGATTTGCCAATTATTATAGCATCCAACCGAATTGTGAATGAAATGAAACATGAAAATCGGAACAATACCTGGAAATTGCTTGACGGAGGTAGAGAAAGAAGGCGTGGAGAGGCGACGAGGAAGATAAGGCAAAGCAGAGCAACGAGTAACAGTGGTGACATTGGTGGTCGGAATCCGAGCGATTAAGACGGTGGCCGCCGCTGCCGCCATGGTTAACTTTCAAGTCCTCGATGGGTTGCCCGGACTTGGATAGTTGTGCGTCTGAGGTCTTCCTTCCTTTGGTTGCTCGTAGAGAACTTCCTCCTCCTCCTCTTCTTCTTCCTTTTTTTTTTTTTTAAATTATCGATGGGATAGCCATCTACCATAATATGATTCGGGGCACCAATTTCAATTCTCGACACGTGGAAAAATGCTAGTTTCTAATTGGTTGACTCCCTATCCCAAAAATCCACATTGCAGGAGCACTCCAGCTCTTCGCTATAAAAAATACTGATTCCTCAATCCTCGTGCACATTTTTCGTACTAACTTGATGTAATTCCCATATTTTCCATTAATATCGAGAGCATTAAATAAAAGAGGTTTTTTTTTTTGGATTACTCCATCCGATATTCCAGGGAAATAGGCGTTTTTTAGCCGTGACAACGTCCCCAAACTAATCCGGATTCGGGGGCTTGCAAGGATCCATACGGACGGCGCCCCCTGGCCCCTTGGAGTGCTGCGTTCTCACGTCTCGAACCCGAGATCCGTGGTTAAGTTAGGACGACCCCAGCCAGTCGACCTAACCCCGCGGGATTAAATAAAAGAGGTTTTTAACAAAGTTTCAAGTTCAATTATTCATGCTCAAAGTTTGGCCCAAAAAAAAAAATTATTCATGCTCAAAGAAGCCATTATCTAAAGTTCAGGCTTCTTTGTCCATAATTCATTCAATACTCCTACATAGTTACATATCTCATACAAGAGAAACATGAGATCTTGGAAACTTAAAACCATTAATCTCACCCCTTGAAGCTAAGACATCATCTACCAAAACAAAAGAACTCACTTTAGATTTGTATTAACATTGTATCGACAAATTCTCAACGCTGATGATCCATCCTCCTCTACAATCAAGAATTAAATGAAAAATCGAGCTCTGCCATGCCCGTATATCCTGTGCCAATGCTATTGCTTTAATGGCGTGGAATGAATCATGGAATCCAATCCCTTCCTCTTTTTGCCCAGAAATCAAGTCCGCTTACATAAGCCAACCAACAAGATGAAGGGCCAAAACCCCCCACCCCACTGCGGGGGGTTAACATTTACGTAAGGCACGTACCCCTAACTTTGAAGGCTAGATTTCCCAAACTAAAAGAATGTTTGGGGTGAAAAAATACTTCCTGGGATAACCAAATACTCCCTAACAATCAAATTCTTGAGATTGAATGGGTTAATACAAGTTTAAGCCCAATTTGGTATTGGTTCCTAAAATTTTAAACGTGTGGTATTGATCCTAGAAATTGTGTCCATTTTAAACCGTTAGTTTCTAGTATCTTAACACCTCTAAAATCTTCTGGACATTAACACCGTTAACCAATAAGGTGGATACATAGCTGCCTTATATGCAGCACATGACCTGGACATGAAATTTTCAAAAAAGAAAAGAAATGGACAATCAAATGCAAAACACACGCATGACAGACGCTGAACACACGCACAGACACTGCAAAACCCATAGGCAAGTTCCTCTTATCTGGGCGATCCATTTGTCCTTGAGCACATCGTAAAGACCCATACGAGTGGTGGAATAGTGTGTGGTGGAGCATGGTGGCTAAGACACCGGAAAATAGAGCAGAAGCACCCTCGAAGTGAAGAATGTACACACTAATTGATAGGGGTCCGGCTTTGGAACCACAGGCTGCAATGCCAAGTAAGGAAGAAGCATCCACTGGAGGAGACTGTGTGGGAAGGGCAAAAGCAGGACGAAGATTATGAATGTTGTGAGAATTAACAGAAACAGAGACTTGCTCGCCCTGAAGCTGCATCCGAACTTTGATCAGATCAAGCGAATGAGTGCGACACCCAGCAACAATGGACGCGATAACACCCTCAATAAAACTCTTAACACCCATTTCGCTTGTCGAAGATTTGAAATTTGTATGTGCAGAGAGAGAGAGGGCAATGACAATCATTTTCTTCTAGTGTCCGTGAGTGCCTTCTTTTTTTTTTTTTTTTAAATTTCACGTCCAGGTCACATACCACATATAAGCCAACCTATGTGTCCACCTCATTAGTTAACGGTATTAATGTCATGTCAAAAATTCCTAACAGTGTTAAGATACTAAGGACTAACAGTCTGAAACGGACATATTTTCATAAAACCGGACCCAAATTTGAAAGATCAAAATTTGTATTAACCCTGATTGAATCCTCAAAATTTCTTGCTGCAAATTTCTGGTAGAGTTGGTGGGAGAAAGAAAATGTACGGGGCTGTGCTCTTTCTAAATGTACAAAACCAACATCCTAATATTGCCCCACTAGTCAAGAAAGCAACCAGAAAATTAATGCTAAGCGACTATACTGTCCACCCAATGATTTATTCACCTTGTTCCCCAATCTAACATACATCAGCAACTCTGGAAAACCGCTAGACTACCATAAATGATTCATCTCTCAGGTGATTTTAGTATTTTCAACATCAAACCAAACACAATTGGTGGTAGAAGTGATTTCAGACGCATCCTAAAACTAGTACATACTAGTTAGTAATTTCCATCAGGTTCAACATAACATTGAGAGAAAACCAACAACCAAACTTCTTCACCACCAGTCATGCACTTCTTTCCCCATTCGGGAAGCCCAGCATACCAATTTAAATAAGATATTCTAGCTCTTGCTAACATCCGAATCAAATTGTCATCAAGTATTACAATCTTGTTGTCAGTAGAACCATCATCTATAAAATACTCTTCACCTCATCATTCACAAACAAAATCACAACACAAGTATGATCGAGAACCAACAACGGGAAAAACAACCTTGCGAAGAATATCCATCAATCCAAAGAAAAACGCCGCACCGAACAGTATAGTCAGCAAAATGAGGGAAATCATTTGATTATGAATACCTAAAACATACAACAATTCCAAGCTGCCAACAGAACAGTCAAACTAAAGAGATAACAGGCTATTATTGCATTAATTCACCATGCAAAGGTCATAACATGTAAAACTCAGGCATACTAGAGCTTCAAATATTACAGATCATTTAGCATCATATGGCAATTAAAAGGAAGAAGAAGGGGGAGGGGCGCAATTAGAACGGAAGCTGTGGAGACCGTGATCGCCGAACTCGGAAACCCAATCCAATCCAAACCCAAGCGCTTAAATTTTATCAATATCCTCGTCCTCAAACTCAATATAATCGTTGCCAGTGCCGTCATCCTCCTCATCCAATCCACCACCAATACCCTCGTTGAGCCTGGTGTTGTCAGGCAACTCTCCATAAGCCTTCAACAGCCTAGCCTCATCGGGCATGTACTTGAGGATCACATCGGCCTTGTCGTCCTGGTAGTCCCGGAGGCCGACGAGAATTATATCACCGGCAGCGATCCAGACCTTCTTGTGCATCTTGCCACGGATATGGCAGAGCCGCTTGGTGCCGTCGATACACATGGCCTCGCACCGGCCGTTGCCTAGCATACGGAGCACCTGAGCGTACTCTTGGCCGTCTTCTTTGAAGACGAGCTCTCTCTTCTCATCGTCGGCTTCGTTCTTTCCTCTCTTTCTGTTCTTCCCTCCCTTACCCTTATTCTTCGGCATAGCTTCCGCCGCAGAAAAAACCCTAGGTTTCGATTCTTGAAGATGGCTTTTTCTCTGGTAAAATTCTCTTCTCTGGAGAAGTGAAAGAAACCCTAGGATTTTAATGCGAGGCCGACGCCAGATGCCTTGCTCCCTGCCGAACCCGGGTCTATCCTTTTTACAAGTAGCGTAGGGCAATTCCAGGAATAATAATATAGTATGCTCGTAATGGACGATTTTGCCCTCAACAACTTGCCCGATGTCGGCAAATGGCATCGTGGGCCTAACCGTCAATTACTTGGCTTTCCATTTTTTTTTGTCAGTTGATATTGTTCGGGCTTGCAACTCAATCGCATCAAACAATGTCTTAAATATCTTTTAAAAAAAAAATTCAAAAAAATATTTCTTAAATTTTAAAATCCCAAACACTTTTATAATAATTTACTATACTTAAAAAATAAATAACGATACATTTTTATAATAATTCTTGATTTTGGATTATAAAATTTAAGAGGTTTTTTTAAGGATTTCCTAGTTTTTTTTTGTGCAGGGTTATGAGTTTAAATTTTTCATAGAAAGTATAAATTTAATTTATTTTAAATAATTTTTTATTTTACAAGATAAATACATGACAGATACAAAGCATAAAAATGATTTCGGAGAGTGATAGGTCCAATTATTTTGATGGGAAAACTAATTAATTGCACTTCAAACAAAATTACTCAAAGCATACTTACTTTGACTTATACAGGTTAATAGAATTCTATTCAACTACTAACAGGGGTTGGGTTTAGTAAGAAAGACTAATTCCCCATAATATGGTGAATCAAAATTTAAATCCGTATCAAGAGAAGTATTCACATTTAGTATTTTACAGAGTTTCAAATCAGGTTGCCTCAACTACTCTTAAATTTTTACTTGCTCATTAATTAATGACGACATGCACCTTTTAAAATGATTACTAAAACATTCTCTAATGACGCGTATTTTATCCATGCAGAATGAAGTCAGCTCCAAAAAATCAATTGAAATTAATTAATGTCGAATTCTAATTGAAAGTAACAACGGAGTACCCATTACCGAATCCCATAATATTTCCAAGTTAAGCGAAGTTGTCATAATGTACAAGAATAACAAACTAATTGTTCCGCATCCTCTTTTCTAAGAAAAAACCAATGCATTATTCTTTTTTCATTTTTAAATTTCGCCGATAAAGAATAATAAGAAATCATTAAGATGACCTCTAAAATCAAAATAAACCAAATGGGAAAAATGAAAGCATGTTAACGAAAGTCAGTTTCCAAACAGGACCTGTCCCTTCCTGCACCTGCTCAAGCCCATTTACATTTTTTCTTGGGTGGCTGAGCACGAGAAGATCCAAAAACCCTCTGATTTCATGCCTCACTAGCCACCAAAAGGCACTTTGCCTGGATATTTTACATTTTTAAGATTCCATCAGTTTAACATAATATGAGTAAATAGCCTAAACAAGGTCAGTCATCAAGTGGATTGAAAAAGTTCTCAGAATATTTAACGGATGTCAGTGTCTGACAGTGAGCTCAGCTCTGAGATGGAGGACGCCGTTGATGAAGAAGAGACTGTCCTCAGCCATAAACGAAGTCCATGGAATTGCAAACAAGTTTCTGTAGCCCACAGCCTTTCCCCCAGTGAATAAGTAATTACCTTTGTACTTGCTAACAAACTCCTCAGTCGGCCTTGACCTTGCGGCAAATTCATAGTCGACGGCAAAGCTAACTGAACCCTTTTCCTGCATGCCCAGAAACAGTCCAAAACAATGGAAAGAATTCTGTTGGTCCATGTTGCAATGTGCTGACAGGAAAAACCCCTGTCCGCCTAAATGGAATGCCTGAGAATAAACCCGGCCAGAAGGGAACAAACTGGCACACTCCTCCCGCTTTAGATCCAGGTAAACCACACACTGTTGCCTTGGCAGTTCAAATTCCACCACCTTAACAGGGCGATACTTATATGCCCGCTCAGCAAAACGACGATTCAAGGCAGCAGACTCCTCTGCAGCCAGTGAGCGCTGGCGGTGTGGAGCCTCAGCCTTGAAGAAGAGGGCCTCAAGGACAAGCTTAGACGCCACTTCATGGTCAAAGTCATTACAAGTCAAAACCTTCTTAAGTTTTCGACAAGTCATGTAAGGGAAGCGAATTAAACGTGCAAGCCGTGCACCCAGAACTTCTTTCCTCTCCTCCAGCTTGGGATATTGCACTCTAGCCCACCTTAACACAAAGTCATAAGCAGCATCTTCTGATGCAACCTGAAGATCATCACTAGACAATATTGCCTCAATTCCAGCTAAGGGCAAGCCCATTACCTCATCCTGGAACCTGGTCATATGCAAAAATAGTTGGCATTACAAAAAACCACATCAAGAAAAACATGGCGCATGCAACTACAGCAGATGTTCTCCCAAAACTAAATTGATGTCGGGAAATCGTATATGAGCAAGGGGATAGCAAAAGTGAAAATTAGAAGTATTAGAGGTAAGATGAAATACGTTTATGCAGATTATTAGATATGAGTATCAATATATACACACACACACTAAAATGCAAATAGCACTATTCACAAGTTATAAACAATCGATCAAATATATCTAGAAAAATAGAAATACTTATATTTATTAAAAACAACTACAATGATAAATCAAACTAGAATCATATACAAGACTAGTTTTCTCCCACAGTCTGGTTGTTTTAATCCTACAACAAGGTGAGCTTTTCCAACCAGGAAACAGTGATTAAGAATGGGCACGGGAAATAAAATATGGAAAAGGAAGATGATATGTAAATAATAAAAGATATAAGAGTAGTCAGGTTAGTTACAGGTTAGCTAGCTGGCCAATGACTATAAATAAATGGTTTACGAGCATTACTTGGTTATATCCTTGTATCTAGAAGCAAGATACTGCTTTGCAGCATCAGTCAATGGTTGGACGGCCTCAGCCATCAGGACACTCGAAGGAAGATCCAGGTAAAGCAATGCAGAATCAGGTGTCATGGGAATATTCCGCAACAATCGGCTGCAGTATCTCATGCATGAAGCAACTTCAAACTTGTCAGCAGCCATCAACACATCCAGCAAAGCAGCTGGTGTAGTGGTGCTCAAGGTATTGCTGTACATAAAGTTCAGAAGCTCCATGAGAGCAGCCTCCTCTGTAGCATGCGAAAGAATCATGATGTTTGTAAGGCAACTAATAGCAAAATGACAGCATATTAGAGCTGTCGGAAAAAAATAGAAAAGAAGAAAATCATTTTATGTTTATACCGGAGGCACTAATTCTCAGTGTAACATGTCTCTGCTCGGACTCCTTCATTCCATTAGAGAAAAGCTACAAAAAACAAAAGTAAGTAAACACACATTTTTGCAACATACGGCCTGCAAATGATTCAAATCTACCCCACAAAGAAAAGGCATCTACCTTATAGAAGAAAGGACTTTTAGCAGCCAAAATAGGAGAACTGATGTGTAGTGTCTTAACCCTCACAACTGTTGAGCAATCCATGCTCCAGTTTGAATCATTGCTATTTCCAGCTTCATCATCACCTATGAGAATAATAGTCACACAGGAAATCTAGGTTATGGAATGTATTATAGAACCTGTAAGGTAAGTTTATAGAGATTCAATAGAGAGAAAAAAAACCCGCTCAGTGCTACAAATCTTTTAGTTTATCATATTTCTTTTATATACCCGTAAGAATATTTAAGAACAGTATAACTGGAATGAACGTTGGTGACCATCCAAAATACAGGCCTTTTGGTTCACCATATCTCCTTTCTGACCATAAATTGCAACAGAACGAGCAACAACTTGAGATATGGAAAAAGATATCCTCTCTTGATGTAGAAATGAGGATCATGTTCAAGAAGCATTATTTACACGCCTTCCGCTGCCAAAAAAATAATTCTATCATTCATTGACTTCTTTCATGTCAGTTCTTTATCTTCCCTATCATAAACTTGCTTTATTCGCAACGGAACCTCAGTATGCAAGCATTTATTTGAGAAAAGGTTGAAAGACAGTTATTAAATCCTCACCATGACAGGGACTTGTTCCAGACTTGAAGGATAGACATGAAAAAGAAAACCGATAAAAAGCACAGCATCTTAATCAAGAGCACAATAACTAAGATAATGAGATTAAAAGCATAATTAATTCAAATACCTGAAGGGCATTCTTCAACCATTGCAACAGCTTCTTCATCTTGATTTTCACCGGCAACACCATCATCAATATCAAGTTGGTTCCCATTCAAAATTTGCTCATCAGGCAATATCGTAAGATCCGCTACAACAAGCAAGAGAGAAAAATATATAAAAATATTCAAATAATTTAAAAATATAAAATATATACTATCTAGTCTATAAACTCTGTAGAAAGCAAACTATTCATTGGCGAAAAAAGCAACCCACCCTAGACGCCACGCAAAGCATGGGCAGCGGGCTCAGTCCTATTCATTTTAACAGTTATCTAGTAAATTATAAAATGAAAATAACCAATAACATTTATATTTTCTAGAATATTCCATATTAGCCATGGTATGAGACAAGAAGCCAACATGCACCGGCAAATATTTATAAATAGAACCATGCTTTGGTTTTGTGCTGGCTCCTATTCTAAAAGTGCATAATCAACAAAATCTAAATAAGATTACATGGCATATGTGCTCGATTCTTTCAAACGGTAAAAGGAGTTTGAATTCTTATGGTTTCGGGGAGCAATGAAATGGGAAGTTAACTAGATTTTCTTGATTACAACTAACTTTCTTCTCAAAAGTTCCAATATGCAGCTTTCGATACCATTATGATTTACGATTTCGAAACCCTAGGTGAAATAACATCTTGGCGGTAAATGATAGACAATGACTCGTAGAATTGACCCCTCACAAGATATTTGAATTAGTGGGGTATCCAGGAATGCTGAAATGAGAGGTTAACTTGATTTTCTTCTTCATTACAACTAGTTCTGTTCATCTAAAATAAAATTTTACCCAAACAAAAAAGCATAAAGAAAGATATAGAGAGGCATACTGCTGTCCTTCTTCGCATCCTCCCGCCTTCTCTTTCGGTGGCGAGCCCAATCGGCGATGGTAGCACAACAATCGGAATCAGGGCGAGCCTCAGCAGAATCCCCCATGATTTCGATCCGGAGAATCCTATCTGAGAAGTTACTGTCGTTGAAAGCGAAGCCAAAATCGGCGTCGGAAGGGGAAGCGCCGCCGGAGTAGTCAGAGTCCATGACGGTTGCAGGGTCAAAGAGATCCGTATTGAAATCCTTCATCCTTACGGGTAAGCCTCGCCCAGAGAAGGACGAGAGCAGAGGAAGATAACGCTAAGCGAGGCCCACAGGTGGGCCCAGAGCGGGAGGACGAAGGATGAAGGAGGGAAGGGTTTTGTTGGATTCCAGAAAGGTGGGCGGTGTGGCGAAGAAGAGAGCGTTTGAGAAGCAATAAATACAAAGCAGGAAAGCCATGACTCCTTTTGGTTATGCGTGTCCTTTGATTTGGTTTGCTTGTTTTGTTTGTTGCATATCTGTTAGTTCATTCGTGACAACCAAACTTCCCAAATAATAACTAAAATTAAATTTTACCGTAACCCAAAAAAATAAATTTATCGCTCTCCAAGGCGGAGGCGTCAGGGAAGATATAAAGATTTTATAATTTGAATAAAAAATTGGATAAAATTTTAAAATAAAAAAGTCACCTAGTTGGAAAAAATAAAAAGTCATACTATTTATGGTCACAAAAACAATCAACATCTGAGACAGGGTTACATCTTAGGGTTTGGAATTACTATTATTTGTTGCTATTAATTTTAAAAATTTTGACTGTAATTTGAAAAACTTATGAATTTTTTAATTCAATATAATAATTAATATGTTTTTATTTCCTTAACTGAAGAGATTTGTGGAATTGGTTAAGGGTAGAGATTCAGCAAATTTTTTTTAGAAGGATTAAGTTGTATTCACTGCCTAAAATATTTTTTTTAAGCAAGGCATGTGATCCTAAGTATTCTGTTTTTTTTTTAAGGGTTCTACAATACTTAATCCTTTTGAGAATATTGAACTTTGGCATTTTCAGGTGAAATATTTTATTGTTGTTAAATATAAAATTCATTGACAGTTAACCAGCAAACCCAACCTCTTTGTGTTTTTCTCCCTAATTTTCTCCCCCTAAACATAGCTATCTTTCTATTGGAGATAATCATTTTTTAAACATTGTTAGTTACTAAATATGTATAAATATTTTTCCTAGAAGACTCGACTATTAGTTCATTATACTTTGAAAGACTAGTTAATTTTACAAAATCTAATCTCCCTACTTTTTTTTTTTCCTTCTCTCTTGTGTTTAGCTGTAGTATAGGAGTCTTGGGCAAAATTGACTGGGGTGAAATAATAAATTGTTCTCCTGCGTGAGAGCCCATAAGTTAAAAAATCCACGCATAAAAGCTACTTTAAAACACTGTAAAAAGAAAATGCAAGGGGTAGCTCCCTTTTGAAGTTCTTAATTTTTCTGATTCATTTCATCAACACTTTGATTAGTAGCAACATCAAGATTCTGAGATGGAATTAATGTCTTTGAAGCTGTGATTTTTACCTATGCCCGATGACGTTTTATAACTATTTTACAAAATTACTGAACCATGGTATGCTGAGACTCTGAGATACCACTTACTAGGCTATGCCAATCTACGACATTATTGTGGGCACCAGAATGATTTGTATATACAAGGAAACTTCTCCTATATTTACTTTCTACCTTAGATCGTTTCTGCCACTGATACTTAAAAATCTAAAAACTGAACCTTAATATAACAATCATTACTGCTCAGGTCACTGTCATTATTTCACATAACTAGAATTATTATTATTATTTTATGAAAAGGAAAAATGCATTAACTTTAAATTATGAGTTCACAAGGCTGAAGTTGTTAGTAATTCTTAAAGCAAAGCGGTCATCAATCCACCAACACGTATAAATCTTAGAAGTCACTATAAATTAAATTTTATATTTAAGACGGGAGTTAGTAAATCTTAAGAAAGTAGTTATCAGGCCTAAGATGTTATTGCCAATTCATATAATTAAAGTTATTGGTTGTTAAGTGAAATAACCATTTCATATGAATTAAAAGTGAGTAGTTATTCAAAAATACTAATCAATGATGATACAATTAATTAAGAAGAGCAGATGTGTCACAGTCGTAAACAAGATAAACATGTACTCTTTTTGTCTTTATAATATAGGACCTAATTGTTAAGTTAATTTTAATTATAAATATATGATCTATTTCTCATATTTATTAATTTTTTTTAAATTATCCCTATAAATATCCCTCCAACTATAATCAAATAAGTGATAAAGGGAGGATATTAAGAAGGATGATTATGGTGTTTTAGGAAAAATATATCATATTTTTTGTAATTAACTAACTCACCAAACTTTCTAAATCTAATTAAATTAGTTAAATAGATCTTATATTAATGACCAGACAGATATATTTTACAGTTTACATGTTTGCTAATAAATAGCTAATTAAAAAAAGGGGACCAAATCTAACGGTGTTATTTCTCCCTTTCCCCTCACTTCCTGTCGTGTTTGAAACGCTTCATCGGGTAAAGGTAAACAGCAGAATCACACGGCGTCGTTTTGACTCCTTTGCCCATTCAGTCATATCCTGAAAATATCAGAATACAGTAACATAAGTTTGGGGGGCGGGTGGCCGGGGGAAGCAATATAGACTTCTTTTTTTTTTTTTTTAATACAATACACAAATGAAATTTACGAAACAAATACAATAATAATAGGATTGATTTTTTTTTTTTGGGCCTGAAATAATAGGTTTGATTAAGGATCCAATGTTTGACTATTCCGATAGGACTGACTATAGGGTGGTTGAATTAAATTAATGAAATTTGAGTTATGATCCATTTAGATTAGAGCAGTTGAAAGCAATCGCTGTGATGAAGTCAGACAGAGTAGGCGCATGCCATATATTGCCATGTGACTCCCAATGAAAGAACATGATGAAAAGAACATGATGAAATCACCTTAAAATTGCACTTTGCCATTCAAATAAAAGGTGTTTTTGTTGAACATTTTGCCAGATTGTCATATTTAAAAGGGTGTAAAAAAAAAAAAGCCTTTAACTTGAGTACGCCTCAACTCATAAGGAGAAAAAATATACTCAGTCCAGTTTTAAATATAAAACCCATTTTATAATATAATTTATACTTACACTACAAAATGAGTCTTATATCTAACACCGGAGTTAAATATCTCAATATCTCAAAGACCGTTACGTTGAATTTATACAATTAAGCACACTCACACACAACTCGTGACATATAAAAGAAAACAACGTAATCAATAAAAAGCAAACGAAAGGGCGGGGGGATGATTCATCTGAGCTTGATCAACTAAAGAAGAATCTGAAATCGATATGTTTGCTTTTAAAAGAAAACAACGTAAGAAAGCGAAAGTAGCGAGTCCTCCTTCTATAACCATCTCTTATCTCTCTCTCTCCGCTTCTTTTATTTATGTTCTTTTTCTGTGCACAGGTAAGATATATATTATTTGCGATATTGAATATATGTATCTCTCTCAATAATAATTCGAATCTTAGCTTATCACGTTATAAAAGACTAAACCATTTCACTATATATCTATATCAACTCTCATTGATTCGTTAAATCTAACTTTTATTGATCCATTTCTAATATTTAATTTGCACGTTTCTCCCTAACTTCCTTTGAGTTGACACAAATACAAGCAAACCCATCCCCTCCCTTCTTCTTTTTTTCCTGACCTCTTTTAATTTCTTCTCTTTTGCTGAGCTACCTCCAACAAAACTAATTGGCATACAATAATAAACTGTACTTGAAACCCCAGAAAACTGATAAACCTGTGCACACTTAAAAAAGCCGTATTAAAAAGATTATATGAAAGGAAAGGGGCCTCCCCTCTGAACTCAATCTCATCACCTGAAATTTGTCTCATATATACATACATAGAAGAAAGAAAGAAACACATAAAAGATCTATGGAAAGCTTTGCCTAGCATGGACAGAATATTATACCTACAAGAGGAAGAAGAAGAAAATAGTCACCGCAAGTGAGATTACTAGAGTAACTAGATACTAAAAGTGTCAAATGAACATTAAGGAAGGAAGCTAATTAACAGAAAAAACAAAGTAAAAAGGTGGATGTTTTACGAGTATTATGAAAACTCCATCAGAGCAAATGTTGATGATCACAAATGATAATAAAAGTAATAATAATTGGAGCTCCCTTCACTCCAATACTTGAAAGATGAAGCTAACCCTATCTCCCAGTGCATGCAAACCTTTGAAACTTGGCTCTTAAATAATGAAATATACAGCGAAGCCAAAGGTATCCATGAACTAGCAGCTAAGGTCTTACCTTCACCCTTCCAGGCATGGAGTGAAAGAGAGCTCCAACTTGCAACTTTATTTATTTTTCCACAAATACTAATAAAATCAAACTAATAATATATACGAAAATGCCTAAAATTAAGCTATATATGTAACTAATGATGAGCTTATGATGCTTTATTTTGGCCTTGCTTGAAACTTCAGTTATATAGGCTAAGGCATGGTACTATAGATCAAATCTGGACCCCTGATCAATTTCAGACGTTATGCTGATGGCCAGGGAATATCGCTGAGATATTCTTTAATTCATTCCGTTGTTATTTGTAATTGGAAAGTGGAATCGTTTCCTTTTAATTTTTAATTCAAAGTTGAGGGTCTAAGGGTCCCTCTTGAAAAATGTTAAGGTTCTGGTGTTTGAATTTAATGTAATGATGACTTCATTGGATTTCTTTTTTCCCCTTTCTCTCCTTCATATATTGGTTTTGGGCATTAGGATTTTTGAAGTCGAACCTATTGCTCATTCATCGGCGGGTGTTTTAATTTTAACGACATGAACGCATGTTTATGGCGACATTAAGCAACAAAAGTGAATCTCTAGATAAGCATATATATATATATATATATATGTATGACATGTATTTTTTATTCTTCAACTTTATTTCAAACTTTACTTTAGTTTCTTTTATATTATTTTAAGTTAATTAGATTTCTCTTTAACCAGTCTTCGGCTTTATTTTGAATAACGCGTGTCTCTTTTTAGTTTTCAACTTTATTTCAAGTTACATTTTCACTTTCATCTCAGTTTAATTAGTGTGTGTGTGTGTGTAGGTTGTTCGATTGTTACTTAAAAGCATTTCGGTGATAGATTGCGCTGATAAATTTTACTGGAAATAATAATACTAATATGCAAGCCTCATGAGTATGTCATAGCCATCTCCTTATTATTTTTAAATATGTTCAGAAATTGTTCAAAGTAACTCTTCAAAATCATTAGAAATATAATAAAGTGAGAGACTGAGAGCATTGTTCTTTCAAATTAAGCAAACAATAAATTAAATACTATCTCCAGTCTTAATTATAAGATTTTATTTATAAATTATAAACGAGATATTATAATTAAGACCGGAGGTAGTATATCCGTTTATTAAATTGCAGGAGAGAACCAACTGATTCAAATCCAAAGGGTTTAATAAAGTGTATGGTTAACTTGATTCAGAAGTTAAAAGCAAAATGAATTTTTATTAATTTCTAAAAGAAAAACTCTAGAATGCGAACAACCTTTTTCCTTAGTGATCCACTGAGCACACTCGGAAATTTCATTAGTGTGCTTCAATTTACGCATATTACCTTATTTTATTTCCAACGCAACATGATCTACGCATATAAACCATTCAATTTAAAAAAATCTATTTTTTTAAAAGAATTATTCTATTGTCCATGTGCTTATTATATATATATATATATATATAGAGAGAGAGAGAGAGAGAGAACGGAATTAAAGAAGTGTCCTTCAGAATAAACCCACAAGACATGAGAATATGTTGCCATATTAAATATGAACTTTTTGGTTAAAAATATTCTTTATCAAATCATAATAGCCCACGTCAGCCCTTCATGGTCTTTTCTTGTCTTGTCTTTGTCTTTTCTTCGTATTGTTATACATGGTTCTTCTTTACTTTATATATACTACCTCTGCTATTTAATATAAGCGTTTGTTAATTAATTTAAGTAAATTAAAAAAATTATTAAATTAGTTATTTATAATAAATGTGTATTGTTTTTCTTAAAATACCCTTACTAATTATATATATTAGTTAAATCTATAATTTGATAAAATCTTTATATTAAATAGATAAATATGAGAGACAAAGTGGATTAGAATCTTATATTTAGAACCAAATTAAAAGTTAAATTAGCTCTTATATTAAAAACTGGAGGTAGTATATATACTATTTCCACTCCTATAAGGATCTAATTCACTAATTTGGGAAGATCAAAAAATTTAGTTAAGTTATGTTATCTTTTTTAAAATATTTTTATTAATCATATGTAATTGAATTACCTATTGATAGTAATTTCTTAACATATAAAATTATTATAGAAATTACTTGAGGGCAAAGTAGATAAATATTAAAAACAGAGTATATTGAGATTTTATATTTAAAATCAAATTAAATATTAAATTAACTCTTATTATTAAATATCAGAGGTAGCATTTCATCATTACTTCTCTTTTTTTTTTTTGGCATGTACTCTCGGGTTCCAATCATATCATGTGTGTCATTAAATATATATATTTTAATTCAGTCTTTTAAAGTAATAGTCCAGTCTTCAAGTTATATAAACACATCAGGACTTGCCCAAAAGAGACGATAAATTCTACCAAATATTATCAGATCCTTTGAGCCAAATTTTCATAATTTGATGTTTTCCAACTTAAAAAATTACCGATTATTCAGAACTCATACGTGCAAAGATGGCAAAACTCAAACGATGGCAATAAACGCGATGGAAATAAATTGCTTCTTAACTAGCTACATGGTCATGCTTTACAGTTTAGCTAACATCAAGCGCGCGTCTTTTAAACTTTTCTGAAAAAATGAGACCGTGAATTTGAATCTTAAAATTTAAAATTTTTCTGAAATATAAAATCGTGAATTTGAATCTTGAACGTGGTCACACAGAGGGCATAATGTGTGTGAGTTATGATAAAGATTTAAAAAAAAAACAATGCTGGTAAAAAAAAAATGGTCCACTTATACCCCGGAAGACTTTAGTGTGCTAAAATTCAATGACCCGAGCATCACCTCCTTATTTTATCTTCTTTTTTTTTTTTTACCAAAACCTCCTTATTTTATCACTAACGCAACCTAATCTATATATAATAATAACAATTCAATAAAAGAATTATTTAAAGTATTGGTCTATTCTTTATGTGTGTTCGTGTACTTGTAGAACGAAATATGTAATCATTCTTGAGACTAAGCCCACACAAACTAGTCTAATATTTTCATTGTTTTTTCTATTTCTTCCAGATCATTATATATGATTCTTGCTAGCTTTACAAAGTATGTTTATTTTATTTATTTTAATTACTTGTTTTTCCACGTTGGCATCCTCTTGTGAGATCTTATCATATGACTTGACTTTATTGCATCCTGCTCTTTGGTTCGCCTATCCTTTACCTGAACTTCAATCTAAGTTTGATAGCCGACCATAGCCTCTCAACCTGTCCACTGTTGTACAAGGTTGCAAACATCTATAAATATATATATATATATATATATATATATAAAATATACATACGTCTCCCTGTGCTTAATATAACAATTAAATAAATAATACATGAGTATTAAGATAATTAATTTAGTTATTTGTAACAAATATATATTGGTTTTTCTGAAAATACCTTTTCTAATTATATACTCTGTAACTATCAATTGATGAAACCTCCTTGTTATGTGTAATCAACAAAATATTTGAAGAAAAAATTATAAATTTGAGAAACAAAATAAGTGAGATTTTATATTTATGATCAAAATAAACTCTTTATAGAGCTTGTATATTTAGAAATCGAGATAGTACTCCTCCGGTCGTTAATGTAACATTTAATTGTATAGTTAATCTTAATTTTAAATATAAAACCTATTTATCATATTTACCAAATTTTCTCAAACCACTTTTATTAATATCCTCTCAACTATAATTAAGTAGGAGAGAGAGAAGAAATATTAATTAAAAATTATTAGAGTGTTTTAAAAAAAACATATCATATTTATTATAACTAATTAACTTATTTAATTTTTTTAATCTAATTAAATTAGTTAAAGAAGTAAGGACCAAAAAAGTACTCCTCCGGTCCTTAATATAAGACTCAACTTTTGAGTTGATTTTGGTCATAAATATAAGACCCATTTTTCATATTTATCAATTTTCTCTAAATTACCCTTATGGATACTCCCTCAACCATAATCAAGTAGAAGAGGGAGATGGGGTATTAAGAAAGATGATTATGGTGTTTTAGAAAAAATGTGTCACTTTTCTTATAATTAACTTACCTAAGTTCCTTAATCTAGTCAAATTAGTTAAATGGGTCTCATATTAAGGACCGGAGGAGTAATATTTATAACGGCCGAAAGAGTGATCAGAGTTCAAAATGCGATGGTTGCCACATAAGGAACATAGATATACGGAACAGAGCATGATATAGACATGCATGTATATAACAAAATGGTTCAGGTATAATTTGATGTACCAGGTCGTCTCTAATACAAATATCAGATATTCATAAGGGATAAAACAACTCCATTGTCAAGGATCTGTGCTGCTTAGCAACTATTCACACTTCAATCTTCTCATCAGAAATCTCTCTGGTTGATCTAAAAGAGCTTTTGCTGGTTCTGGAACGAGATCTCTGTGCCTCTAGCCTTGCTTCAAGAAGTTTCGCCATCAACGTGTTTTCCTTCACTCCCCTAGGCAATTTCGAAAAAGATTCAGACTTGTTCAAATCAGAGAGACTTAATTTTGATTTCCTCTCTTCTACAGGGCTGCCATTGCCTGTTACCACAGATTGCACGTGAGAATCTTCCCTGCAAATACTCTCAGGATGTACTTTATCGCCTTCCGACGACACAGAGCTGTTCCCGACCACATTATCAAGCCGGTGACTCGAGCTCGTTCTCCTTGTCTGGAGCCTATCGCTTTCTTGTGGACCTTGTGTTGCTTCACACGCAGTTGATACTTCAGGGTCATGTGACATGTTTTCTTGGAAGTGACTGGACCTGGTGAAATCCTCAGCCTGAACTTGTTTGGTTGATGAACTTCCAATTCCTCTATCTTCTAGGCGGACATCTGCAATTTTCAGATCAGAAAAATTGGCGCCAATAGAATCTTCCTCGGCCATATTCCGAGGTGCGCTTGTAGCCTCCTTTAGTGGAAAGGAATCCGACGAATGCTGACATGGGTAGATTTCCTTCAGCTCCTTTGGAAAGGAGTTACCATATTCTTTGCAATCCATCGAGCGGGTCGCATGAAGAAATGTCTCGATATCGAAACCTAGCTTGTCAACAATGGAACTGCTCTCTTCAGAGTCACCCCCAACTCTGGCCAGCTTCATTTGTGCACGCTCATCGAGCCAAGCTTCTGAAATATGAAGGATTAGCTTATCAAGGCTATGATCTCTGCCAACCTGGCCCTTCTCAGACTTCAACCTCCTCAGGGAACGTACCTCTTGTTCGTAGGCTCTAATTCCTTTGGCAAACTCATCACACAAATTCTCTAACAGGATCCGAGCTTCTCTCTCCCTTTCGAGCTCTCTCAAAGAACCAGAAAAAGACGACTTCATCTGAGAAAGCTCCCGAGCCAGTTTCCTGTGCAGGCTTTCTGAGTGCTTTCTTAACCTCCTCTCATCTTCTAGCTCTTCCTTCACTGATTGAAATGCAGCTTTAATTTTGTCAAATTCTTTGATGTTCTTCCTAACAAGCTTGTCCTCCGTTACTCTCTTCATCAGATCCTCCATCCCTTGCCTATTCATTTGCTTCTCTCGTAGCAACTCCTTAACCCGGGCACGAGAAAGGTCCAGTTCCATTTTTAGGGCTTTCACTACTGATATGCTTGAAGCATGATGTTCTTCAAGACTCCATATTCGGTTGAGTACCTTGAGTAACTCTCTTGATGTTTTAATGTTGCAACTTGACTCTCCCATTCTCCTTCCTTTGAAGTTGAAGGAACTCGTAGGAGTCACCGCCTGATTATATGGCGCCACCTGTTTTAAGCAAAATAACACCGTCTCTTTACATAAGCAGGAAAGGATGAAATAACATTTAATGTCTTTCTGATCTCCAGAATATTCACAGAAAGATCATTGATGAAGATAAATACACCAGGACTTGATAATTTGGGTATGAAGTTCCTTTAATAAATTTCAGAGCTACAACCAAAATTGTTAAATGATAGACTGACAGACCATATGATGCTTCAGTTCTTATGAACCAGAGAGAGATCGTTGAAGTGATCTTTGGTAGGAAAAAAGGTCAAAGGTAAACCATAATATTTCAGTTCTAAAAGGTAAACAAATTCTGAGAAAGAACCCACGGATTATGGGTCTGAGAGCGTAGAATAAATGTTTGGAGGCAAGATAATCCAAAATGTTACCATAAAATAAAGCACAAGTTCCTTGGAATGGCCACTCTAACTCCACAGCTTTTCCCAGAATGATCAAGTCAGAAAAGCATTTCAATCATAAAAAACTTTCTCCAATAAATTTCTAACACATTGCGTCTGATGCTGAACTCAAGAATGTACTTCCAATTATGTGATGTGTAAATTTGGCGTTTGCTGATATGATCATGCCACCAGATTTTACAACTCAAATTCTTAGGCAAAAATACACAAGAAATCACGTTTCTTTCAATTGTAGCAATGCACCAATCAGTTCACAAACAATAAATGCTTACTTCCAGGGAGCCACTGTGACTTGCAGGCGACAAAGGCTCCAAAACACAGCCATCTCTGTCAACTGATCTGTGGCTCTGAACAGGCAAAGTCGCAACATGTCTAGTCAAGCTACTCGGAGAAGCTGGCTGCAAGGAGGCACATGGTAAGTCATACTATTCATAACCTATGATCCCCCTATCTGGTTATGTTAAATATGCATAATCTAAAACATTTAACCTGGTTGTAGGGGAAATTGCTCTAATGTAACTTCTCTATATCATTTGACAGGACTTTTAGGTTAATAATTTATCCAATGATTTGGTTGTCATTAGAGTACAATGGCTATCGCACGGTCCATAAAATCAACCCTATCTAATGAGGTAAAGCTCGTTGTTGTTGGTGTTTGTTGGGAATGTGTATTGCTTCCTTGCTTCATTTTTGAAGCGGAGGTTATAAAGTAGGTGAAGGAAGTAAGCTGTACATATTCTCAACAAACAATATAGAGGGAATGATATAAAGTAAGTCCACCTACCACTCAGTATAGCAGCACCGTAGAAGAGTGTTTTAGGCCTCGATGACCACCTCCGAAATGCGAATTTAGTGTTACTTTTGAATGGATATTAATAGACTTTTGTCTTAGATTATGCAAATTGAACAAACTAGATAGATGGACCCCATGCGCCACACGGTATCAAAAACTGAAACCATAGCAAAATTTGAAAACTATATGAACAACAGGTCACCTCTTCATGAAACGCTCTTACCTAGTTGTCAGGAGATTGGACATAGACTATATTAGTCCATATTGTCAGAGAAAGGCTAGAGAGCCATAAGGTTCATAGAAATAACCATACTTTGATGCTCATTTGCTCCTTATAAGAAGCAAGCTTCAAAGCACATGGGAAGAATATGAAGAAGGAAAGAATTTGTTTTCAATTTCTCGAGTGTTGACAGCTATGTTCTTCAATAACGTAATAGGATTGTAAAAATGATCCAAATATTATATTTCTATCGGAGAACCTCACAGTAAACACATTAACAACTTTACGAAGCCTTATAAAGAATCAACTATCAATCATAAATTAAAAAAAAAAAAAAAACAGAAAAACTGCCATAGATTCATACGTGTAAGAAGCAACCCGCTTGCAAGAGTTTTGCATAACAAGCTGTGAACTGAAGGAAATAATTAGAAAACAAACAACGCTGTGAAGCAGAAGATCTGGCCAAGGGCATCACTGAAAGCCCCAGTAAATGTTAAATAACCACAAAAAAGCAGCAGACTTCTACAAATTCGAGATGGAAAAAACCAGGCCATTAGTGCTTAATGAAGCAGCACAAATATGAAGAAAATGGCAATATAAAAACTAACAGTAACTAAAAGGCAGAGAACTGAGCAGAAGCTAAGATGAAACCTGATCAGTGGGCCTCTGTGGATTCTCGTTCTTATGGCGGCGGCGGCGGCGGCGGCGGCGGATTCTGGTGGCCGGTTTGGTCATACTGGGAAGTGGGGCCTGAATCTGAAGGGGTTGAAGTTCCCAGAGGTTCGCACAGAGCTTTCTGGCAGAAATAGTAGAGGGGGGAAAGTCGACGAATTCTCGAACGTGGTCGTTTTTGCTGCCACTGTGAAGGTGAGACGAAGAAGAAAGCTCAAGCCTCCATGTGGGCGGAGGAGTGGAAGGGCCACCTCTTAACCCCACCAAAACGCCCCGTTTTAACTTGTCCGCCATGAACCCTTCTTCTTCCCTCCTTTTACCCTCTTTTTCTGTAACTTCCATTCTTCTCTCTGAGCATTCAAATTTCAAATTCAAGCCTTGATTTTTTCTTTTTGCCCTTTAAAAGCAATTGATTGATTGATTAGAAAGCTGAATGCTGGCATACCATCTTTCTGCTTCATGCTTGACAATGCCATATGTCCACCATTTCTTCGAGCAAGTTACCTCGCCGGGTTAACTGCAAGTCGTCTTCTTGTCTACGAAATTTCGGCCACCTCAGGATTAGGGTCCCACACAAATAAAAACCTTATTCGAGCATCTTAATACTGTCGACTTTTGTCTCCGCCCAAGGCGATTACTTGTTTGTCCTCTTAAACAAGATGCTTACCTTTGTCAATACTGACATCATTGAAACAGAGTAACTTCCATTGAACTTTATTATCGATTATCAATTATAGTACAAAATATCAATTAAAATTAACTCTGGTTTATGCTTTTTAAACTGTATCACTTGAAATGATGCTGGGCCAGCTAAACCTAAGGAATGCTACGGATCCCATCTATGTATGACCAGGACTTATAGGAGGTATTTATTGAAACATGCGTGGAAGAAAGAAAAGCACGTGGCAGCTATAATAGTAGTAGTGATAATAAATAAATACTAATAATGGTATTTAAAATTTAAAAATTAATTAATTAGTATATAAGTAAATTCACTTTTTATTTTTCTTTATGAATAAAACTGCTTGCCAATACAATTTAAAAGATGATAGCGAAGAAAAAGCATGTTAAACACATTAGGATGATTCCTTTTAGGAAAATGAAACATAGATGGACTTCGTGTCCTAAATTTTAGCATATGGGGGTCCCTCATTTTAGCCCCCACATCACAGAGGCATTGACAATTATTAAGTTCTCAACATTCCACAGCATCCTGAAAAAGCCCACGAGAACAAATATTCCAATTTTTTTAAAGTTTATTTAGCATAAGTTATTTTAAACGGATTTTTTATTTTTGAAATAATTTATAAAACTCAGGCAAGGGTCCAATATGACGAAGCATCCTATGAATTGTTGGTGTGGCATATGAACTGCACGAAGAATTGAGAAGAAGGGGAGGACCACAGTTATGGACCACTTTTGTGTGCATTTCCATGGTCCAAAAACAACATGCGTCCCTTTGACTGACAGCGACAGCATGCATGCCTCCCTTTGCATCCCGACATTTGTCATAATTATGCGATGTTGTGCCAACAGTTTCTCATTTCATTCCTTCTCTATATTCCCACCTCTCAATTTATAACTATACGAAGCATTGTTAAACTAAATATAGATATTTTTTTAGTGAGAGTTTGAATCTTATGTTATGAAAGACTAATATCTTCTGTTAAGTCTACCTCTCGTTCTCATTGGTTATGAGTTACCAATGCGTTATATGTATATATGATGTTACATTTTCCAAGGAATAACTGCGTGGACTCTTAAACTTGGGCTAAAATTCAAATAAAAATAAAGATCGAAGTCAAGCAATCCCATGGATCGGGAGAGGCCACCAACGGATCAATAACAACATAGGCCAGATAGGCCCAACAAGAACAAGAAAAGCCCAATTTGAGTCCCATGGTTATGGGCCTTTTTGTTTTCGTTTTCATTCATTTCAATACCGCATCAGTCACCAATAGAGCCGGGAAAACGGGCCGAGCCCATCGGGCCGGCCCGTTTAGGCCCTGAAATTACGAGGGCCGGGCTTGATATTTTTCTCTTAAAATGAAAACAAGCCCTGGAGGGCTGGCCCTGGAGGGCCGAGGGCTTAAAAGGGCCGGCCCTGGAGGGCCGCGGGCCGGCCCTTTTAAGCCCTTTTATAATTTTTTTTATTTTTTAAATTTTTTTAATAATATTAATGTTATTAATTTTTACATTGTTAATAATATTTCAAATATTTAGTTATTATTATCATTTTAAAATTAATTTAGTTTTAGACAATAATTTATCTAATTAAATTTTTAAAAAATCGGTTAATTTGGACTTTAATAATGATTTGATTTATATTATATTTGTTGATATTTTTAAACTATATATATATTTGATAATAGAATATTTTTATGCTTATATAACTTGTGATTCTATAATTTGAATTATAAATTCATGAGTTTCAACAACAATGTTTCTCACATTAAAGTAAAATAATAGTTAGATTGCAAAATTCAAAAATAAAATTCTTATAAAGAAGAAAAACTTGATATTTTTGTTACAAAAGAAAAGCATACCTATGAAGAAAAGTAATTAATTATAGTGATGATGAAGTTTCAAAAGATTAATGATAGTATTTATTTATTGCACAATTGTATTATAGATAAAACTTTTAGATGTTGTTATCTTGTTAATGAATGTTTTAGATATTCTTAGATGTTGATGAATATTTATATATGATGATATTTTATATTTGTGACTTAATTTTATTCATATTTATGTCTTTTATTAATAATTTTATTGGTTTATTTTTATATTTTTATAAAAAAATTTGATAAATATAAAAAAATAGTATTTTTCCTTAAACGGGCCAAAAGCCCGCGGGCCGGCCCTGGCCCTATAGCTTAAGGGCCGGGCTTAGCAAATTGGGGTATTTTTAAAATTTCAGCCCTGGAGGGCCGGCCCTTTTAAGCTCGCCAGCCCTGAAGGGCCAGCCCTGGAGGGCCGGGCCGGCCCTGATTCCCGGCTCTAGTCACCAATGGGGGCTGGGTTTAACAAAAAAGATTAGTCCCTCACAACGTGACAAATCAAGATTCGAATCCCTCTTGGGAGAGGTGTCCACATTTAGTGTCAGACAGTACCTCAAATAGGATTACCTCTAACAAGATACATCTCCAGAGATCTGAATAAGCTCGCTGATGCGTTGGTCAAACAAGGTCTTGCAATTTCAGCTTTTATAGATTCCTGTCCTGATAGCCCAGGGAGCCTGATGGAAACTGAGAAAATGCGAGCCAATCCCTTTTAGTTTATTCTTGAGTTCTCTAGGCTTTTAGCCTTCTCTTGTATTAACAAAGAAGTTAATATAATTTTTAGCTTCTTAAGTCTGTCTTTATTTTAACTTTAATCTCTCAAATTTTAAATCATAGATTTATGTTAAAAACAATTTCAAATTATAGGTTTTGATCCCTTTAAGAACAAAATAGTCTAAGTTTTTATTAGATTATGGGGACTAATATTTTAAATGAAAAGAAACTTGAGCGACCAAAATTTATAATTTGAAACCTAAGAGATCAAAAATCAAAATAAGGGCAAACTTGAGGGACAAAGTTTGTACCCTTAAAAAAATTGATGAAATTTACTATGATGTTCACACAATCACACTTATCATGAAGGTGTTTGGATGAAAACCAAATCATGGTTTTAGAAGTATTTTTACGGTATACGAAGTAAATATGTGAAAAAATTTATCTCATTTTATGAAAAAGTGTTTTTGAAAAGTGTTTTTTTAAGTTCCCAAACACCCCCAAATCTCATGTAACATGCGTAAAAAAAATATAATTTTTGGAACTAAATCATTTTCAGCTCCACTTCAACGTATTTTTAATAATTTTTCAAACAAAATTATACTACCAAATCAACATGAGTATTTTAAAAAAATGTTCTGGGATAAGTATAAAAATATTATTATTTGGAATACTTTATTTTAACTAAATTTTTTTGTTATATAGAAAATGAAGAAACTTTGTTTCCAATGTTGACATAATTATATAATTTTTCACGCATTATATAAAAATAATGTATATTATTAATATTAATAATCGGACTTGTTTTTATTTTTATAAATATTTGATATTATTTATTTCAAGTCATTATTTTATTTCACAAGATTTTCAATTATTATTTTATTGTTCTGTTAATTTCTTGCTCAGGTGACCAATAACAGAACTTGTGAGCCGATTTTGCGTAATATACATCTGTCATGAAATTGCCGCTCCGGCAAAACCTGATAGAAAAAATTATAATATGATCATATTTTGAAATCATTGTATATTATAAAAAATTTTAAATTTTATTATCTCTCATTTAAAATTTAACAATTTTTAAATTTTATCCTTATTTAATATGTATTATAACTCATTTAAATAAAATTATACATTTATATAAAAAATTTATCTTAATATTATTTAAACAAAATCAACATAATAATAAATAATAAATAAAATTATATGCCTCCCTTACACATGCAATGCTAGTACGCTGGTCAAAATATATACAAATATGCGTGTGTATATATATATAGAGAGAGAGAGAGAGGATATGGTAGTACACTGCGATCTTTCCCAGTTCTCTGCTTGTATGAGTTACCGTGAAAGATTCTATTTGTTGTTTTTCTGATTAGGGTTCTCACCGATTCAGTTCCAGCGCAATGAAATTGGCAGCTCTGAAATCTGTGGATAATGCGCATGATGAGTCCGTGTGGGCGGTCACGTGGGTTCCCGCCACAAGTTCTCGATCTCCCCTTCTTCTCACTGGCTCGCTGGACGAGACTGTGAGGCTGTGGCGGTCCGATGATCTCGTCCCTGAGCGCACCAACACCGGCCACTGCCTCGGTGTTGCTTCTGTGGCAGCTCATCCTCTCGGCTCAATTGCTGCTTCCTCTTCCCTCGATAGCTTTGTCAGGGTTTTCGATGTCGATTCCAATGCCACTATCGCTACTCTGGAAGCTCCTCCGTCTGAAGTGTGGCAATTGAAATTCGATCCCAAGGTAATTGAGCTTCCGATCTTACATGAAATTTTAAGTTTTCAAGCTTCTCGATTTATTATGGAGTAAATACGTCATATGGTCTCTGAGATATATTCACCCGAAGCTTTTGTACTGAAATATGCTGTTACGGAATTCATGACTTACTAGTCTCTCTGATGCCATTAGATTTGGATCCCATTGTATACTTACAAAACCTATTTACAAAGTTTCTGAGCCTGTAAATATGAAAGTTTTTACATTTATGTGGAGGTTATGTCCTAAATAATACTGGAAAATCTAATTTTTCACGTTTAATGTATAATTGAACCGCAAGGACTGTGTTTTGTTGATTTGAAAGTGCATCAAGGGTAGAAATCCTGAAATGGTTTTTTTTTTTGTTGGGGGGGGGGGGGTTTGGGGGGACCCTGTGTTTTAGCTTGAGCCATTGCCAGTTATACTAAACTAGCTCGACCGGTCAAGTGCTAGGTTGATTTCTCAAAATCTTCTATATACTCCACCTAAAATCTTTCATTTGAGGATCTTTCTGCGAGAGAAACTTATTCGTATTGCAGTTGATTTGGGAACACCTGGTAACAGTCACTATTCGTGCATATAACCCCATTTCTCTTTAATATAGAAGGCTCAAGATATGCTTCATGTATGAAACTGTCCCTGAGTTGGTAAAAGTAAAACTATTTATCGGCATTCTTACTGGCTTAAAAGTTGAATATATCAAATCCCTCAATTTGTTAGATTTATTACCTAGAACTTCAAATCCCTCAGTTTTCTAGATTTTTTACACGTATGGGTTGTTTATAAAACTTAAAATCTATGATCCCCTTTAGTTAGTGGAGCTTCTTAAACTCAGAGAGCAAGTTCGATCAAAATCAGGAATAGAATCTATTTGCAATCGAAATGCTGGCTTTCGTGCTATGCAATGTGTTTTATTCTCAGCAATTAACATTTCGTTTTAATAAAAAGCATATCTGGGTGAAGAAAAGATTTTGTCCCCATTTGACGTAGTTGGCTTTAATTTGACCAAAACATGGAAAAATTATGAGAAGTGTTCATTCGAAAGCTCATCTTCCTTGCTACTGATGTAACACGGTGTAGCCTTACCCTCTCCTTTACATTAAATGCCATGGTGATTGTTGGTTGACTTTCGACTTCTGTAATATATTTTGCTGAATATGTGCATTGTCTATTTGCTTCATCAAAATCTTTATTACACGAACTGGATTAGCTACTCTTAGAAATGAACTCGTTTGTCATACATTGTGATTAGCGATTGCAGTGCTTCCTATAAGTTTGAGCTGTGTTTTCTTCTGCATGTCTGGTTGCATGTTCTGTTTCAACCTTTATCTCAGTCATATGCTAGTCTCGTAACCCAAATCTTGATTTGAAATTTAGGAATGGCAAGTTTTCTGGTCATGTCACAATTATCACAATGTTGCATTTATGTAATCGGTGCATAACTAACTACCGCCTGCCTTCCACATCACACACCATACGTTGGACTATCGGAATTTTCTTATTCTGATGGTTCTATCTCACTTTTTCTTCATTCCTTCATTGGTGATGAAAAAATATCTGAAGCTTTAGAATTAAACTACGGAGCTCCTTCTTCCTTCACAATTTGCTAAGCAATATATTTTGCTTATGGAGCTTATCATTGTAGAGTTATCCTATGTCTCTTAGTCTGAGCTGGCCATGACAATTCCCTGTGATAGCAAAACTAGAAAAATTCTATCAACTTGGTTATTTGACATTTCTAACAACCCTACCCTATTGTCAGGGTTCCATCCTGGCAGTTGCTGGTGGAAGTAGTGCTTCAGTCAAGCTTTGGGACACTTCCACATGGGAGCTTGTTGCCACTCTATCTATTCCTCGTCCAGAAGGGCCCAAGCCAACTGACAGAAGCAGCAGTAAAAAGTTTGTCCTATCAGTTGCATGGAGCCCTGATGGTAAACGGCTTGCTTGTGGCTCAATGGATGGCACCCTATCTGTCTTTGACGTAGCTCGTGGCAAATTTTTACATCACCTTGAAGGCCACCACATGCCGGTGCGTTCACTTGCATATTCGCCCTACGATCCGAGGCTGCTGTTTACAGCTTCAGATGATGCACATGTCCACATGTATGATGCTGATGGAGGAAGCCTAGTTTCATCCATGTCAGGTCACGCTAGCTGGGTACTATGCCTAGATGTTAGCCCAGACGGGTCGGCTGTTGCCACAGGTTCAAGCGATAAAACTGTGAGACTCTGGGATCTGAACATGAGAGCTGCTGTGCAGACGATGAGCAACCATACAGACCAAGTGTGGGGAGTGGCATTTAGGCCACCTGGAGGCAGTAATGTTCGAGTTGGTCGGCTTGCCAGTGTATCAGATGATAAGAGCATAACGTTGTGTGATTATTCCTGAGGTCAGGTAGGCACTTAGAGACGTATTCCCTGGATTTGCAATGTGTACTGAAATGGTCGTTTTTAAGAAAAATAGGCTTAGTTTTATATTATGTACTGGAAATTATGATCGAGTTTCTCTTTGCATTTATCTTGCTATTAAAGATATTTAAATTTAAGATTGACTCAACTTGGCCAAAATATTGAATATAATCGAAAACCATAAAGGCCAAACTCGATTGAAATTGGTATTTCAATGCAAGATACCGTGCCATTGAGCTTGATGCTTTAGGCCTGTAAGAACTAAGAAGCAAGTTCTAGTCCAGCCATGCTCCTCTAACTATGGATTGTGGTATCAAAACAACTTTCTTTGAAGTGAGATTTGCAAGGGGCAGATCTTACAAATCCATATTTTATATAAACATGCTAATAAAACATTTGTATCTTGCAAAGAAGAAAACTATGAAATTACCCACAGTGCCCTTGAAAATGCAAAAGCCAAAGGAAACATCAGAACTTTCTGTTTCATCCTTCAAAGTTTCAAATCAACTAAACAATCGTAACTTACGAACACCTGAGGGTAAACTATCAACCTTAACCAGCTTGATATCAGAACGCTGAAACACTCCTCGGTTCAAAAAGGAACCTCCGACTTTTTGGTAGCCGATTTTGTGAAACAGGTAACAAAACAGCATTCTATGAATTATGAAATGGTGTAAAAAGTGCATTCTATTGACACAACTCAAAGGGATGCGCAGATAGACAGAAAAACTGACCGAAAGTCTTCCGGGTCTAGTGGTCCGTGGTCTTTCGGGGTTGACTATAACCCAATCTTTTTTTTTTTTTTCTTGAGTTACAGGAGGGCGGGATCGAACCCGCATTACACACACACCCACGCACACACCCACACCACTGGGCCAACAGGCCGGTGGTAATCTTTTTTTTTTTGACCAGCGACTATAACACAATCTAACCCAAATACCAAATGCAATTGCTCCAATCAACTTTGAACTATTCTGCGAAACTTCTTTTTGTCATTAATTTCACAGGAAATAACAATGTTTAACGTGACTAAATATTCAGATGCACAGAATAGCTACCACGAAATTAAGTCATGTGATCAAATAATGAAGTAAAGAAGACATTAGACCCGAATTAGTAAGCTCCAGCTGTTTCTCATCCACCTTGAATGAGAAAATAATAAATACGGTTCGATTCCTTCTGTTCGTCGCCACATGGAATGGCGTGGTTTCCCACTCGTGTTATCAAAAACCAGCAGGTCACAGGGAAGACTTCTACTGTTGCCACTATTGACCCAGTCCCTCAAAAGGAGAGCTAAAGAAAACACGCCTTCAATTGGAAAGATAATCTACCCGCTACCAATTGTCAAGTCCGCGAAATCCCGATAGTTCAGAAACCTCATTTTCACAATCCGAGTCTACAGGCGCTCACATTCAAAGATTCCATTAGAAATGGGATCTACCAATTCGACTCGCTCACCCGACTGAGAAGAAAAAAGAGAGGGGTCCAGGTGAAAGTGTGAAACTCGAGAGGCTTCAGATCAAATCCCGCAATCATGAACAAAATCCAATTAGGTATTCACGAATTAAGACAATAGAGTACAGCCTTTACTCCCAAAATCCTAATTGCTAGAAATCAGAAGACAGCATTAGGTTTCCAAATAGGGCGATCAAAATTTAATGCAGCAGTAAACCCCAGACAAGAAATAATGTGCAGATAGAGAAACATTGTCGGGAACTCCCCAGCCAGGCAGAACCCTAATGCTAAGAGCCAAAATCAATTAATGATGCGTATCAATTCAATCCTCACCTTTCAGCTGTCAGAGATTTATCAATTTTGACGCAGGGGCCGGTTTGGCCGTCGTCGAGGCTCGAGACACGACAGCGACTTCGTCCTTTCTTTGGCGCCAAAATTCGTCAGTACTTCGAGAGGGTCCTTCCATATTCGCAACCAAAAACTGCCACTTTTGGTACTTGACAGCTGCGGGTTCAACGGTTTTTGAATAAATTACCCTTTTAATGTTAATTCCTTTTTAATTTTATGAACGGGATATGCAGAACAAAATGATCATTTAAATAAAAAGGGGACAAATATTATGAGGTTTAAAAAAATATTTAATTATTAAAAAATCCTAACAAAATGAGTGAGTAATAAAAACTGGCCGTTATTTTTTATACCAAAATTTGTTCTTACATACTTCAATTACCACTGAACTTTTAGATAATTAAATTATTTTCTTAAAACTTTGTATTAATTCCCTCAATAAAAATTAAGTCTTTTCAAATTTAATACTCTCGAGTCTTCCAAAACGTAAGACTTGTTTGACGAAATGATTTTTTTTTTCAGAAGACTCATTCTTAACTGTTTCCCATATTTAATACTTTTAAAAAATAATTTTTTTATTACATAATTTTGTTTAGTTATCATCATCCATATCTTCCACATATAATACTCTCTTCAAAGACTTGTTTTATAAAAAGTAATGTTTTTTAACATTATAATAATAGTAATAAACAATCAACCTATTAATGGAAAAAAAATCAATGCAATTAATTTTTTAAATATATGTAAATTAATTAACTAGATTTTATGTTTAAAACAGAAGAGTAATATTTAATTTTATACATATATAAAAATAAAAAGTATAAACCACTGCGATGAGAGAAGGCCATTTGAATATTCAGCTTTTTTTGGTTGGGATGGGAAGTGATACGGCCACTTGAAAAGAAAGATTTGTTTTTTGCTTAATAGCCACATCCCCACCACAGCTCCCCTTCCCCACTAAAGCCACTCGTGGACCTCACGTCCCCACCAACCCTCCATTCAGCCTGCCCCTTCACTTTCCCTTCCTCCTTTCTATGTATATTTTAACGCATTGTACGGACGACACCCCCACACATCACATGCAGCAGCAACCGACACAGATTCAGTGATCCGAATTATTGTGATCTTTCTCTTTACCATACCCTACGCTTATTGGTTCTTCAACGTATAATGAAAATGCTCATAAAAGTCCTTTCCAAATCACTGCATGTCCGTACAACTACCCAGCATTTAGGATCATCCCTGGCCGGTTGGCTGCCTTTTCCCCCCTTTTAAGCCTCTTCACTTTAAGATTAATAAAACCAGTTATGGAAACTTGAGATGAAAAACAAATAGTTGAGAGCCCTACACAGCTTTTCCCAGACTATCTCACACACACACATATATTCATCCATAATTCAACAGCATATATACTTGTATTATTATTCTTCTAGCAAGGCAGGACAAGTTCCACGACAAGGAAATAGATTTTGGATAGATAATCTTGCCAGGTGCTGACTGCTGACACACACAGGTAGGGTTGGGAGAACAACGTAGAGAACGTGATAGATAAGTCTGATGAATCTTTATTACTATTATTTTTTATTCTTTTGTTAAAACCAAGCAAAGAAAAGCAGATCAGATGCACCATAACCAAGATATTTCTTGGAAAACGAAGCAAAATCCAAAGATATGAAACTTCTCAGAAACAAAGAACCAGCTTCCAGTAATTTCTTTTTTTTGACCAGCAAGCTTCCAGTAATTCCTAAAGTAGACGTCTAAAGAGGGATTACACATTGCATGGTAACAGAGGCTGCGCAAGTCGAGGAAAAAGGTGTTTCTGACCAGAGCAAGTGCACAAAGAAAAAAAGAAGCAGCCAACACACATGCGCACACGCTCGTTAGAATTAGAATTATATATACACAGACACAAACACATAGACATCCATATAGTTCTCTGTATTTTCGAATGTCATAAAAGATATTCCAGTATCCATGAATAAACAACTTTATCAGCAAGTACATTTTCTATAGGCTGTTGGAAGTTGGTAGACAGAAATCATATCATATTAAATTTGAATGAAAAAAAGAGGGCACAACGGGTAGAGATTTTAGACACACAGCCGATAGCAGCATTTATAATGGATGATCCAACTATGGAGCAGTTTCAAGCCTGGGTTCAAAGCAAAACCCAGTGAAGAGCTGCAAGGGGAACCTTTTTGTCACTGGACACTTCTGTGACCATCTCCATTGTTTATGGTTCATGTCATACGTGAGAAGTGCTGAGGCTCCATAGCTTTGAATATATATGAGATCATCTGTACCACTGCTAGCAAACACATCATCCAACTCTCCAAATCCTTGAAAGAATTTGTGAGGCACTCGGGCAATTTGTCCCATTTCCCATCATTTAACACCCATATGCCAATCCCTTTTATAATGTCCGGCCGATCAAGTTTACCGAGACCTCCCACCATTACAAGCTTCTCCTTCAAATTCATCAGACGACCACATGTTAGAGGACAAGGCATTGGAATAAAATTCCTTGCCAAGGATCGCTGAGACGAATGGTTGGTGATATTATATGCCACGAGGGCATGTCGATTTTCTGCTTGACCACCCACGGTTGAATAAGCCAAAAAGTACAGCACCCCATTACATGTCACACTCTCATCACCACCTCTCCACCCCGTCAAAACCTCTGTTAAACTGGTCACCCAGGTCTTATCTTCTGAATTGTATATATGAATTGAAATAACAGATAAAGAAGTTCTCAGGCACTTCCTTTGATTTAACGATAGCCACTGTGTAACTTTGTGATACTCTGTTTAATGAAATTGCCAATGCACTGTAATCAGAAAAGTCAGCACCGGGGGGCCCCTCAAGCTTCTTATAGATTTTAGTAATGGGGTTGCACACAAATAATTCACTTCGATTGTCATTGTCCATGAAGCAAACTAAACCACAAGATGATGCAATTAACCAACTAGAAGTGCCAATGCAGGGAAGTTCAATGCCATACCATTTCCGAAGGATTGGGTCATAAGCATAACCAGTTGGCTCATCAACGCTTGTAAACATAAAGTACCAAGGTTTCTGCGGAAGCACATGTGAAAGGCTCCACAGAAACCTCTTTGAGGTAACAATTTCGTGCCATCTTTTACAGACACAACCTGCTCTGAAGATGCTTGCAACGGGAAGATAGGCTAGGATACGTTCCAACAGCTCATCAGGCAAAATACTATCCACACAAACAGTAGCGACTTCTTTATCACTTTCCTCACCCAGTTCTAAAAATGAATCAAACTCCCTACTCTCCCTGGTTGAATTATCAAGGCAGTGAACGATCCATGATGTTTCT